CCCCCCCCCCCCCCCCCCTTACCTTTCGCTCTTCTCATAGAGGTTACAATTTCCTAAGTTATCACCACATTATCAACTGTCTGTCTACTAGGTATGAAACTACTTTGATTCAGGCTGATTAGGTTATCCAAGAATGGTCTTAATCTATTAGCTAGTAGTTTTGTAAGTATTTTGTAACTCACTTTATAAAGGCTAATTAGTCTGAACTGGGAGATTATAGTTGGGTTTTCTATTTTTGGAATGAAAGTAATCCAGGTGGTGTTTAATTCCCTAAGGAAAACGCCATTAGCTATGGATTCTTTAATTAGTTGGCACAATGAATTACCCACAATTCCCCAATACTTCTAATAGAAAGTACCATGTAAGCCATCTGGCCCAGGTGTTTTAAGCCCTTTGACCATATACACGATTTTCCTAATTTCCTCATTGTCCACATATGTTTCTAACATGTTTTTCTCTGCTTGTGGTACTATAGGTTGAAAACTATGAACCATTGAGTTAGTACAGTAAGTACATTCATTCTCAAAAAGATCTTTAAAGTATCTCAAAATCTCAATTTTAATCTCTGTCTATTATGTCATCCAGACCCCTTGAGNCCCCCCCCCCCCCCCCCCCCCCAAAGTAATCCATTTGCCTCTAGATTTTTGGTATCACAAGATTTCTTCTTGTTGGAGTGTATCGTGGTATTTCTTTAGCAGTTCTCTGCAAGTCTTTCTAAATTGTGAGAGTATTGTATTTCCTGAGATTTTTGAATACCCCAAAGTCTAGCCTTAAGTCACTTTTTTATATGAAAAATATTTTCAAAAGTGGTATGGTTCCATTCTTGAGCATTTTCTGCAAAGGCCAATGTGCACGGCTTCATGCAGCGAATAACCATGACTCGCCCATGTATTGTAAACTAAATCTTTAAATGATGCATGAGTTAACCAAGATGCCTCTAATCCAAAAAGCATAGGAGATAAGGATATTGGAGTATTACCTATGAGTTGGATGAGTAATGGACAATGAATTGAATGCGTTCTTGGCAAATTTTTGTCACATGCTTCCGAATATTGTAACCTCTAGTTTGCATTTGCTAAAGCCCTATCAAGCCTGATCATTATGTTTGGGAGTCCCTTCCACTTATTCATCCTAGTTAACCTAGGCCTGCCACACCCTAGATTAATGAGTCCACTGTTAGAAAATGAAGAGCATAGAAAATGAAGAAGATGAGAAAACAGAGGGAGCTAAGTCATGGAGTAAGTTTTTGCATATTCTTCTTATTCAATCAATCAACTCATTATATACAATGGTATTTATACACAATTCCTCAACAACCTAATTGACTATGCACATGATTGTTGGAACAAAAGTCCCAAAAATCATTGACAGTGCATATATATCAAAAACAAAAACAAAATTCCTTTAAAACCCTACAAAGCGAAACAAGGGTACCTTCGAGATAGTTCTAAATTGATCTCATATCAGCATGAACGCAGAATCTAAAAATAGATGCAGAAAAAAGTTCGATGAACCTCACGATCTTCTGTCGTATATCTCCCAACACCAAAATCCGGCTACAAAGACTTCCAAATTTTTGTTTTTTCTCTCAGCCTCCCTTAAAACGTGAGTAATAAAGGTGATGCTGATTTAGAGAGTCTAGATGTCTATATATATGCTACGACTTAAATCATAAGGAGAAATAAGGGTCGGACTTCCAATGGGCCAAGAATTCCTATGTTTAACCCATAACAAATATCTTGTAGACCATTAATAATAAGTTAGTTCACTAAAAACTTATTATTGATCTTCTAAATCTTATCTCAAAAATTATGTTTCCAGCTCCTTATTATTATATGCTTCATAATTTTTCTATGTTTAAGATTACAGATGTCCATCAATTAAATAAATTACTGATAATTATATTTAATTGACTTCTTTTATTCCTTGAGACCTTACCACTCAATTTATTTGTCATGTCGAATAAGTAAATCCACCTACAAGGTTTGACATAAACAAAACTTAAGTACTTTTTCAAAAGGACATTATCAACTCATTTAAATATCAGGACGTGATTTCTTTTAATAATTAATTGCTACTGTACAAATAATATTTTCTCTCAATTCACCAAGTTTATTGACTTAATATGAATCTCATTTTTTGATAAATTAAAGTGACAATCATTATATGCACGTGGCAATTAACTATTTCGGGATTAAGAGTACAAGCAATCATAATAACAATAAACCAATGAGTCTTTGGTTCATTGGTACTCCTTATTTTGTGAAGACTTTGCCTTCTTGAGGTCAAAAGTTCAAGTTCCCTTCCCTCCTCCCCTTTCTCCTCCAAAAAAAATATATTTAAAAAAAATAATCATGAGGTATTTATTATCTTATTCAATCAATAAAAGATAATAACTTCAACATAGGTACGTTCAATACACAAAGTATACAAG